ACACTGTAGTTATTTCACTCCACAGACAACACACACATACCATTAAGCTAAGCTTATTTCGCTGATATCATATCATTTTTATTTCTATTTAACTTATTTTTTTGTGGAGATTTATTATTTCACATTTCAAGTCAAACAAAAAAATTTGGTCGTATGACAAAGACATGTACACGAGACCTTTACCCCACCATAATTAACTATAGCTAATAAACAAATGGTAATTAATAAAATACCCTTATTTTATTAATTGACAAGTTTCCTAAATCAAACGTTCAAGAACATCTGCAACCAAGGTCTTACAACAAGGACTAATGAGGCTTGGGTTGTTATGAGTTTTGTTGAGTCTAACATTTTTTGCAGGTTTGGAATACCACTAGCCATCATTAGTGATTAGGGGACCTACTTTTGCAGTAAATTGGTAGAGAATATGTTGAAGAATGATGCACATCGTATTGCTACACCATATCATGCCCAATCTAATGGACAAGCTGAGGTCTCTAATAGAGAGATCAAGAAGATATTACAAAAGCTAGTAAAACTAAATAGGAAGGATTGAGCTGCATGATTGGATGATGCACTCTAAACACATAAGACAACTTATAAAGCACCTATTGGCATGTCACTTTTGAGGGTTGGTTTTGGAAAGACTTGTCATCTACCCATGGAGATTCAACATCGGGATTGGGTTGTAAAAGCTTATAACTTGGACTTGGAAGAAGGAGGGAAGGAGTGAAAGCTTCAACTGCAAGAACTTACGCTCACAACTTACAAAAGGTCCAAGTTCTATGAGGAGAAAACCAAGAAATTCGATGACCAAAAGCTTGTGGCCAAAAAGATTTCAACATAGAACAAAAGATATTATTGTACAAGTCTAGGATAGGTCCAATAAGTTAAATTGCGTTCCAAATGGAAAGGCCCATTTCCCGTCACACAAGTATTCCCTTTTGGAGAAGTAGAGAATAAGGAATAATTTTCAAATAAATTTTTCAAAGTGAATGGCCATCGTCTTCAAATATTTAATAAAAATCAAAACATACTGAACAAGACGATGAATGAGGTGAATTTGACTAGTCTAACATTCCTTTCACCTTAAAGAAGGTAAGTACTTTTATATATTTTTTTTTGCATTCTATATATATGACAATATATTTGAAAAAGAAAATAAACAAAAATAAAAAGCAATTGTTTTCAATAAATATTTGCAATGAAGGACGATAATAAACTCTAGAAAAATGAGTCATGTTGATATATGAGTAAATTGTTTTTATGATTTGCTGACTGAATTGACTTGAGAATTTCTTGAATAAATATTTTATAAAATAATAATATTTTCTGATATTTAACTTGATTTTTTAATATTTTTTTATAACTAAAATAAATTATAAAGATCAAATGTATTTTTATTATATAATTATAATTTTAAATGAAAACTAAAATATGTTATAACAGAAATAAAATTATTTTATATAATTATAAAACTAAATATTATAATTTTATTGTAAATAATTTTTATTTATTTTATAACTGTTTTACAATTAAAAATGGTTAAGTTTATTTACAATAAAAAGAATAACTTAAGTTAAAAAAGTATCATATTAAAAACACGTTTAAATTTAAAGAAATCGTCAAAATTAATAAAATACTTATTTTAATTTGAAAAAGAGAGATAAATTTAAAAAATAAATGTGAAAAGAAAAATCTCCTCAGATAATTATTTTAATTAAAAAATAAATTTGAAAAAACCGTGAATATATCTATATATATATATATATATATATATATTTTTTTTTTTTTTTTTTTTAAAAAGAATGGTCAGCATCTGTTTTTCCTATTATGTCAATTAGGAATTACGAATCCAGATTTATTCGATTAGAACCCATTGGGTCGGCTTTGAACCAAACGCGTTTAAAACCGTTCTTCAATCTATACCCTATTGCCTGTTTCAGTTCAACTATAACCCCACCCACCACTTGTGTCGTAGCACTCTTAACTGAAACCAGGTTTCTGGGAAGAGAGAAATGGCCCTGAGGCATCGTCTTACGAAGGAACTCTCGAAATTTCTCTCTCCCGTTACTCAAGCAGGTGCGTGTGTTTTCTACACTGCCTTTTCGTCTGCACTGCACTCTCTTATTGTTGCTCTGAAAGACAAAGACAAATTATTAAGACGAAAAACTGTTATTGTATTTGTGATATTTTTTTATTTTACTTAGTGCTAAGTTGATCGAATGTTTGTTATGATTTTTTCTCTTTTTTATGTTGTCTTCATTGACTCGATCATGTTCAGTATCTGAAAAACAAGATAAATTAATTCCACTTTTAGTCCTTATAGTTATAGTTACGGCAATGTGCAATTTTGGTTATTATAACAGTTTTTTTAATTTTGGTACACTGTATCATGTAGTTATTGGCGGGAAATGGTAATCGACAGGCTAGAATGTCAAGTGTGGAACATCTTATAAATAATTGACACTGTTATCATTAACGGACACGTTAACATTTTTCTTAGCAATGGGATGATATATTAACACTGGACCAAAATTGCTTAATTTTAGAAAATTAGAAAATCAAAATGCACTATTAAACTTTTTTACTGACCAAAATATCACATTTGCAACACTACACGGATCAAAAGTGAATTTAAGCTGAACATAATTTATCTTCAATCATTGGAAGTGAGTTTATCCATATTTTTGGTGAGCGAGTGTCTATGTTATTCATATGGGGAATTGAAAAGTAGAACATTACTATAAAATGCAAAGGTGAGATTCAGTTCATCAGTTCCAAATTACAGATGTCAATCTGGCTGTATACTTATTAATCATTAGTTGATGTTTCCTTTGCGTTTTGCGTGTGTGCATGCTCTCCTGCATCACCAGATGTTTTGTTTTATTAAAAGTTGTTAGAATTATGAAGTTGTGCCATGTAAATTTTGATTATTTTACCTTTTGGCATTGTTTGCTGATATGTTTATGATACCGAAGTTTGATTATTGGTACATGTCTTTTTATAATGCTTCAGCATATTATTTTCATTAACGAATTTAACTTGATTATTTCTATATTTTATTTCACTCCGCCCTCTCTAGGTGTCTGTTGTCCTCAATCTAGCAAAGCTTTAAACTTAGTGGCTTGTCTGTGATGCTGGTGCCTTCTGCTCGGAACCCAGCTGCTAATTGGAATCAAGTGAGAGAGTTTCATGAACACAGGTGATTGGTTTTTTACTGACAGCATAGGAAGATAACATAAATTGTAGTGTCAGTCATCATTTATGAATAAGATAGTATACTTAGTTTTTTGACTATTCTCCGTATCAATTCTACTGTTTTAATTAGTATGCTGAACTGAATCAGTTTTGAGTCAGCACTATGAAATATTAGCCAGGCGTCATTTTGTAAGGACAGATGGTTGGAGTCTGTTGTAGTACTGTTAGATTGTAACTAACTAGCTTGGAGCTCAATCTATCTGATTGAATATGCTTCTGTATTCTAACTCAATTAATGAATAATACACTACATTTAGAATGTTTAATTTTGAAACATCATAATTTAGGATTTTGTAGCTTTCTTGGGTTTCTTGACTTCTGATCGCCAGTCTTATTCAGGATCTCAACAATGGCTGTTAAATTGCATGAACCTGCCACTGAAATTGATCTTTTATCTTCATTAAGGCTTCACTGGATGAATTTGAAGGTATTACTTTTTGTTATGGTAGTCCATGCCCTTTCATATTCTTAAAATTTTGTATGAGCCTTTCAAATTCTTCATATTTTGAGTGTTAGTTTTATTTTCTATATTCTGAAGCTTATGTTTTGCTCAATTATACATTTTAGTTTTGAATTGTATGCACCATCTTTTTATTTTTTCTATCTTACTAGTTCATTTGTCAATAGTTTTAGATTCAATGAGTTAAATAGTCCATCCTCTCCACATTTTGCCAATTACGTAATTTATCCTTTCTTTAAAATGCAGGCACCCATCATTATTGGTTAAATAGATCTGAAAAAATTGACCAACTTTTTGGAGCCGATGGGATATTTTTAGTTCTAGCTGCAAGTAATTTCAATTGTGACATTACGCTTAAAAAATTAAAGACAATTCAAAAGAGGTATACAAAAGTTATATTTTCTCTCCTCACTTTGTATTAATGTACATTTGTATTAATTAAATATATTTTGGTGGCAGGTTTCCTCATATTAACATTATTGGTTTGGGAGCAATTCACTCTTCTTCTGATCAAGTGCACCTAATGCAGTTACTGATGGAAGAAAATATAGCATTCCCCATTTTGTTGTCTCAGCAGACATTTCCTAAGGTGAGGTAAATCTCTTTACTTGAAAGGATTAATTTGAAAGAGGGAAGATTTTTATTCAATTTTTTTATTTGAAACAGTACATCAGCCTCAATATATACAAAACTCTAACCCTATAGTCATAATTATATAGAGATCTCTAGAATTTTCTAAGAGCTTCTACTAGTACACTCAATATCCTACTAATAATACCTTTGTTTAGCTTCTGGTGTGCATGAAGACTTGATGCATGCAAAGACTAGCATTTCTATCATTATGAATTTTTTTGTTTAATTCTTGCTAAAATATCCCTGGCCAAAATTTTTCAGGAAGTAGTAAATGTATCACCCAACACATCTGAGAAGTGGCACCCGACTTCATCGTTGCAGATGTGGGGGATTCTTCTTCCAACTCCATTTCCATCCTACTTATTAAAACTAGATCATTGTAGGTCTGTAGCATGTTACTGTATATTAATTATGTGTTTGTCGTCATCGTGCAGTGGTGGCAGATTCTTCTTCCAACACCATCTCCATCCTACCCACTAAAACTAGATGATTGTAGGTGTGTCGCATCTTACTACATATCAGTTATGAGTCTATGATTATCGTGTCTTTACAGATGAAGTCATAAACTATAGGCTAAGGTTGCTGATTGTTTTTATTCTAATGATTCTTGTCAAACAGGCATTCTTTTGTGATTTACAATCCTTAGGAACCAATGTCATAAGTTCCCCAAGGCTTCATTCCATAGGGTACTAGTTCACGGACTGATGGGTTAGAGTGGTATGCAGAGAACTTGCTAACTTGATATTTATTTATGTGCGAAAATACATAATTTGCTCTTATTCACTATACAGTGACAGTGAGGATGGAGGCTGAATACATGCAGAGCTGGAAAGAATGCTTGTTTGTTGAGTGGCTCCTCCTACTGTCCTACAACTTTGGGGATTTAGAAACTCATCTGTGGTAGAAACTATAAAATGTTGATAGAAGAGTCTTACATTTTCTAGTTATATTGACTATAGAGTTTGCAGAAATACATATTCCTTCCACTTTCTATTTTATAAATAATATATGGAATTGCTTTTATTCATGTATACCTAACGACTGACTGCCTTATCTTTTACCATTTTGTTTATGAATATATTTTTGATGCTTGCATGTACATTTAGTTAATGTAATTCATTTGATATGTATAGATAGAGAAAGGTGCGGGCTACATGTTGTTTAAAAATTTTAGGAGCCCAGTAATTTATCATGAGAAGGATGCAAGTCTTGAAATTTTAAGCCAGGTAATTGTGAATTTTCTACGACTAACATAGCAATGATGTGCCATTTGTTGATTTTTCATGATTCATGTCTGCATATTACAATTTTTTATGTTGGTCTCATATGTAGCTGTTCAGGAGTTAGATGATAAAGCAGGTGGTCATTCTAAGTTGCTCGATGTTGTGAGATGTACATCTTTGGAACAACATTGGATAATTAAAGATCTATGTAGTTTTTCTCCTCTTCAGAATTTGCTCCTATATTACCCAGGTAACCAAGAGGTTGATCAATGGTTTTTCTGCATTTCTTCCATCTCATCCTAGAGTTGTCAGGCAGATTTCCTGAGAATGAGCTAGACAAATGAAGTTTATGCTCCTTTATCTTTCCTTCTCAATATTGCATCATTAATTAGAATATGCTTTTGCATGTCTTTCTAAAGTGCTGTAATATATTTGCCACCACTTTCTGTGGATTGAATTCAATGTTATGTCGGTGATCAAATGCTTTTCTGTTTTTGTGAAACATAATGATGTCAAATCAAGCATCTAAATTCAGTAGGGAATGTATTAATTATGTTCAATGGGCATTTTGAAATTCAGCGAAATGTCTCTTAATCCTTCACATGTATTGAAGAACCATACAACAATGGGCATTTGTTGTAACTTCCACATATTTGGTGGACATTTTCTTGAAATAGTTTGCAACTGAGAGAATCCAATAAAATATTGGTAGTTTGTGCTCTCAAAGTATAACGATTGCATTAAAAATGATGGTAATCATAGGATATTTGTGCCATTCTGTTGGATCCTGGTTACATAATAAACTATCAAGTTTAGGAGAAAGATTATATTTCTTATTATGTCTTCTTACATACAATGGATATATATACAAGAGCCTATAGAATGTTTTAGGAAATAAAAAACAACCTATTTTACGAAACAAATCCCTAGAATTGTGGGATTATTATACTAGCAATAATAGCAAGATACATAAAATATAACAAATTAAATACATGATAATAATATCTAAAATTTCCTAAAATATATTTTGACACTCCCTGGTGAGTAAGTGTTTTCTATTCCCAGCTTGGATATAATTCTTTCAAAATTATTGCTACTCAGCCCCTTGGTGAGTATGTGTTAGGAACCTCACAAAGAGCTAAAGCTCAATCTACAAATTTCATTCCCCCTTCTCCTCTCCTATACATGACAATATTTAGACTTTTACAAAAAGTCTCCATCTCATTTCACATAACAACTAACTGTTAACCAATTAACTATTTCTATTTTTATTTCTCTTCCTATAGTATATTTTCCAGATCCCCCTCGTTTTTCCCTTACCTATAGTATGTCTGCAAGTTGACCTTGAGTGGACACATATAGGGTACAAATCAAGCCACAATCGAGCTTCTCTTTGATAAAATGTCTGTCCACCTCAATATGTTTGGTTCTATCATGCTGTACTGAATTGTGGGCTATACTAATTGTAGATTTATTATCATAATATAACCTCATAGGTTCATCCCACTTTATCCTTAAGTCTTCCAATATAATCTTTAGCCATAAAAGTTCACATATTCCTTGGTCCATTGCTCGAAATTCTACTTCAGCACTAGATCTAGTTATCACACTTTTTTTTTTGCTCTTCCAAGTTACTAGGTATCCACCAAGAAAAGTACAATATCCAGTAGTTGACCTCCAATCCACAACTAAACCGGCATAATCAACATTTGTATATGCCTCATGACTAGCATTTTTATTTCTTTTGAACAAAATTCCTCTTCTTGGAGTCCCTTTTAAATACTGGAAATTCTAAGTGCAACTTGTAACTATGCTTCCTTTAGTTTGTGCATAAATTGGCTAACTAA